GATTTGTGAAAATCAGAATTTTGGCCAAAACGCTCGCTCGATACGTAACCGCGCAAATCCGTAACCCGTACCCGCGCGCACGTGAAATCACCGCGCGAATGCGAAATCACCCGCACGGCTGAGGCATGGAATCTATGGGTGTTAGCGAAATTATAAGCACGCCGCTGGCCATGGTATTGCCGAGTACGTCGCGATAGATTTGCAAAAATGCAAAATGCAAATTTTTGAACGCGTCGCGCTATTATTTGATATCCGAATGCTCAGAGGGAGTTTCTTTTCCAAGAGGATGGCGTCGGAGTTCTTGCGATAGTGGAAGAATTTAATATCACGCGTCCCAGTTCGCTAAAGCCGAAGCGAGTGCTTTTTACGTAAGGATTATTCGTTCATACGGGATGTCCCAAAATTACCGTACAATAAGGCGCGCGTACGTGAAGCGTTTAGTAGTACGCACGAGCCGAGTTTAGAGCCAGAATGCGCGATCAAAAAAGGTGTACGTCGATGAAGTGGTCGGTATTTTTTTTTTTTTTTTCTTTTTCCTTTACGAGTCATAAAAACGTTCTCGTTTTGTCGAAGGATGCAGTGGTCTCCCTATGCGCGTAGATCACGCGCGGAACGATGGACTGTAAAAGTTGTACGCGTAAAAACATATTTCCACCGACCTGTTTGTGACTCGTGATTTAACGTCGATTCGACCTACATCTCCCGAGACTATCGCCGAGAGCGAAATCAACGAGACTAAATGTGTGCGGCTGCGACTCGGAAATCTCTCGAACAGCGACAATAGTGCACCTGATGTACCGCGGCGCACCTGACGAACGATATTTGAGAGATAGAAACGGCCCGACGCTGCAGAGTGTATTTTAGATTGCCTGTATGTTTTTATATTCGTTGCGATATTATTCTCTGTTTCGTTCTTGCTACATTTCCAAAAGTGAAATGGATAAAAAATAATAATCGCACGATATTCCCTCTAGCTGCTACCGTTTATTCGTGTGCTTTGTGCTTTTCTTCCCGTTTCTCTTCTTCGTTCTCTCTCTCTCTCGTAATTATAAACGACATACATTTTGAATACAACTAATAACGCTTTGCTAACTGAGGACAGTAGAAATCTCCAATCTCCAATTGTAATCGCTCGCGATCTCGAATTTGTCGATATCTCGTAATTCGCTTCGAAGATATCAAATCGTTGGAAAAATCCGCGAACGGGGACACCCCTCCCCCCCTCCCGTGTGGAGCTGAAACACTAGGTGGTTGTAAATGAACACTTAGTATGTACAAAAGAGAGCTTTTATTTACCCTACATAACGAACACATAATCCTACCTGTGCTCGAGTGTTTTAGGGTGGCAGGTAGAGGCACCGGCAAAGCCGCTCTCCGCACCAAAATCAGATTACCACGCCGCGGGGTGGAAGCAGCTCCGAGGCTGCGATTGCTTTCGAATTCGGGCACTAGCGGGTGGGCAAGCGAGAAAGTGCTTGCGGAGATATCCATTCGTAGTAAGCTCTCGTACAGAAACTTTATACTCCGCTATTATACAGGGCAAACATGGTGCGAGAGCAAGTTGCCCGAGAGGAAAATCTGTCCGGGAGAATTACGATCGTGTTCAAGATCCGCTTGTGCTGTGCTCGTGCGAATAAAGTGTGCGCACTTTTCTTTCCCTTTCTCCTCCCTTTCTTCTTTTACATGCTCTCAGACTCTTTGGCAACCGGAGACTCCGTGTCGGACTTTAATTGCGAGCGACGCTATTTCCTCTTAATCATTATAATCGGACGCGGGAGCGGTTCTCGTGAAATAATTCTCTTCGTGTCCGTCCTCTTCGTTACACGGTTTCATTATTACATGGTTGCGTAGCAAACGGAACCACGCGATTCGTGCCATTATCTTAATGAAATATGCTTATTATATAGTTTAGCCATGATTATTCTGTTCTGCGTATTTCATCCTACGTGTCGTCAGGGCTACTGCGCAAAACCACTATATCGCGATATTTATGATGGTATCATTTATTATTGATTTATTGCATCACATTGTTCTCTCATTTCTTTATCTGTTTTATACAAAAAAAGTTGTGTAACTAAAAATTAAAGTTTAACGTTTGGTGTGTCCAATCTATAATCAATATGGCGTTGCCATCTGCTGAAAATTATGCGTAGTTGATGATGGAACCAGTTTGGGATGAATTTTAATAAATATAGCGGATGAGAGTTTTTAATCGAAAAAAAATAATTTCCTTCAATCTAATAATCTTTGTTAGTGTTAACTTGATTAATTTTTTCTCTTTGTCAAAGAGATATTTGAAATCGTTTAAAATTGTGCTGTGCTCGTGCGAATAAAGTGTGCGCACTTTTCAAGTTGTAGTTTTTATCTAATTTACACAATCAATAGTAAATGCCAAGTCAAACTACTTGATTATATATTTACTATTTACATACTAGATCTACATAAAGATGTAGATTAAGATAATTTACGAATAAAATATATTAAACTTTTTTTCTGTAAATTTTTGATAACCTTTTTATCCGCAGAGTATCAAAGAGACTTATCTTGTAATGTACAGGAAGGACTTTCCTGGAAAGTAAATGAATGGATACCGTTAACCATCTGCCGTTAACTATGCACGTATATACTGTGTGTGTCTACTGTAGGAAACTTTAATTAATCTTTCACATGCCGTTGCATATAGAAAATATTAAGAAGAAGAATCATTGCTCAGATAATCGATTATAAAACTTCATAATTTCTTATAAGAATTATATAAATTATATATATATATATATATACATGTAAAAAAAATCAATTTATCAACTTTGAATTCTTCTGTACTACTGCTTAATATTTGATAAGTTATTAATATTAACAAAAAACAATTAAAATTATCGCTATACTTCGCTGCCCTTCTTTACTCACTTGTGGTAACTAGTGAATTTTCCTTACTGGAGATCAAACACAAGATATATTTAATTTCAATGGTTTTCTACGGTTAACAGACTGATATAGACTTTTCTGTTAATATTTGTTTAAATAAGACGTGAGAAAATAATCTTTCCCTTGTATGAAGAAGTTTTGGTCGGTAAGTTCATTTCGTCGGTAGTTTGTCGAGCAATATCGATCAGTTATTTATTTATAAATTGCTATCCACCGTTTATACAATCTGATAGAATATTAGAATAAGCATTTGTATGGAAATAGAGCCAGTAAAATGCGTGATAAATGATATTTTTCAAAAAAATATGCAAATATTTTGTTATTAAGGCATGGAAAATTTTGAAAATATATTAACGGAATGTACAGGGTGTAACAGCAACATACAGGTCAGTATGACGGGTTGCTTGTCTCTATTCGGATGATAATGCAGAGGTTTCCGAAAAAAGTCACTCGTTAACTTTGTTGATAACGATATTTGCAGTGTTCCCAGTTAATAATACAACATATTTCCTGGTTTCGCATAATTCCTTAATTGTTTTCTCACGTTGGAAAGTTCGATAGAAATTTGAGATTAGGAAGAACGATACAAAAATATTTAAAAGTCTTATATACTGTATTTCATCCATGTTTCTACAAAAAATCGCTTCTGCAAAAGTATGAATAGACTACAAACGCAATATACATATTGGTTGCAATTTAATCGACTGCAACTATCAAGATGCAAAAAATTTCGAAAAACAATGCCAAACCAGAAAATATATTGTATTATTTATCTCTTTAAGTATTATTCTTGTTTATTCTGCTTTATTTCGTAATATTTATTTCTCAGCTTCATTTTTTAAATATCTTTTCTAATTCAATGAGGCTCGACTCCTGTCGGTAAACGGTCGATAAACTGTCACAACAATTATAGTGCAATTGTTAGTTGCATTAGTCATAACTGGGAACACTGCAAATATCATTATCAATAAAGTCAACGAGTGACTTTTTCGGCAACCTCTACATTATCATCCGAATAAGGGCAAACAACTCATACTGACCTGTATGTTGCTGTTACACCCTGTACATTTACACAGAATAACATTTTATTAATATTATACAAGTGTTATATCTATACAAGTGTTAAATTTACAAAAAGTATATTTCGTCGTCTGTTAATAGCAGCATTACATAGTCTGCATTTTCAAGAGATTTTTCAAATCAGTGACACATATCAGATACGCATTTCTTCTGCACTTTCTTTTTGACATATGTCTAGCTGTTAGCGTTAATATCAAAGGTAAAAGTTCAAATGACAAACAAAGCGTTATTTAAAGATTACGTGCGGCAATTTAATTATATATAGTTGAAAAAATGTTGATGCTTAATGAAACGCGCCGCAACTACATTACAACAAATGTTTTTTGTACATGGTAGATCCTATTTTTATTGTTATCGGAAATGTACTGCATTCTATGTGTAATTTATTTAATTTGGCGAAGCTCGAGCAAGCGTTGGAAACGGCTTTTTCTACTTTTTCTACGATCGCGAATAAAATGTGCAGAAATGGAAGGAAGTGATAACTCGCATCTTTTTATAATTGTCAGTAAAAAAAAACAATTATTGTACCCTTCTTCCGCAATAAGAAACTTTTTCTTTTGAAGAAGAGAAACACATTGCAAGAAAATATTTTGATTTAGAAATAATGTGACTTTGCAGTACTCTTTATTCCAATGCACATATTTTAACATTTATACTAGCGAGTAATATTACTCCCTTAGTACCTATTCCTTGTTTTTGTACATATTAAGTACAAAACTAACACAGATATGTGCTAATTAATTTTATAGATAAACACCATAAAAGTATAACACGGCTATCGGTTAAGTGTCACATAAGTCCTCTTCAGGATGTAATCGAGATCAATGTTGCGCTGTTGGCTTAATTAAGTTCCTGTTTATTATTTATTACATCGCGTTTCCCTTAGCGATTCGTATATCGTATAACTTTGGCCTCTTCTACGCGTTTGTTATTTCTTTTACAAACATATATATAAATGCCAATCTTATAATCGCCAATATTATAATAATTTTCTCTTTATAATTTGACTTTGTTTTCCCTATTGAAGCTGTAAGTTCTAATACTGTTACTTATTCGGCGGAATGTAGTATCTTTCTCTTGGTCGGATGATATATTAAAATTCTTCGTAAATTCATACGAAGTCAATTCTCTTAGTATACATCGCTTATGTCGCTAGTTCTAGTATTAAAATATCTTATCATTTAACGCGACTTATCCTTCCATGCGTCATGCACACAAAACACTTGGAAACGAAAACTTACTCGCGGCTTACTATATCGGATCCAACGACACGTCACGTTATATATATATATATATATATAATATTATGACCAAGTAATCCGAATATTAAAAACTTTGACTATTAGGCGCAACTGTTAAATACGTATGAAAAATAGTACTACTTTCTCTCTGTTGCGACTGCACGAGTTGTACTTCAGCAATCTCGAGATTGCGACCCTCGTGAGAAGATGTCGTAATTAAAACATAGATAGATTATACATAGATTAAATATAGGTTATAGTTCATCTTGAGGTGATTGCTATAGGAATTATTTTATACGGATTTGTAGAAACGTGGATAATCGGAAATGCGTCAGCTTCCGTTCGGTATCCTCTTTATGGGATGATTAATCGATCGCGCACAGTTGGTTCCATCGAGATTCGTTGGTGTCTCAGTGATTCGTCGTTGCCGTTCGGGTAGGCCGACAAAGTAATAGTGGTTTCCTGTTCCTTGATCGGAATGTCCTTTGTTCGAACGCTATCCGCCATGATAGAGAGGCGCATGACACTTCGTTGTTCTCGACGAGATTCGCTCAAGCACCTCCTCGAGCTGACGAGCGAGAAACTTTGCCCACGCCCACGGGAACTTAGATCCGACGATCGTCGATGCCGTCCCCGCATCTTCTTCACGGCGCAGCACAACAGGTATCTGATGCAAATTTCGAAGTTATTTCAACATAATTAGCGAAGTAGATATATCGATCGGAACCGATTAATATTGTCAGCCCCGCAGCAAGAGGAAACTTCGAGAGATTCCTTCGTGAAGTTTGAGAGATGAATATATTTTGATTTTCAAAACGTTTGGTCGAAGGAAGGCAAGTTACTGAGATCTTGGCAGATTTTGATTAGGTCTTCAAGTTTCAAGCATTTCTTGCTTGTGTGACATTAAGCTAGTATATAGTAGGGTAGTAATTAAATTTTTTTAACACATAAAAACTTGATTAAAAATTCCTGCCTCGATTCAACGTCCCCTTTGTGGGGACATTTAAATTCCGATTCTGCTAAAAGCTTCAGCTTTTTAGTCGCAGGACATTCTCGAAATATAACGCGCGCCAGGTTGTTTCGATCTAATTCTTGCGGTGGTAATATATCGTTCACGCTTGAGTAACGCGCTGGCAACGGTTTAGTTCCAAGAAACTAGGTGAACGCGAAGATTGTCGCTGTCGCTGTCCTTTCGAGGATACGGGGTCATTTTCAAATTCGGCAAAAGAATGCCTGAGAGAATATCTTACAATTCTTATAATTTTTACATCCCCGGAACGGGACAAAGAAAGTCCTTTCTTCCTTCATCTCCGTGGCGCGTTATTTTTCCGAGCTGTTATCATTCGCGTCGTTGCTACAATACACTTAAGGCATTGAGCTCACCTGTCGAAGTACTTCCTGAAAGTACCACTCACACAGTAGAGAGCGATGGGGTTGATGCAGCTGTTGGTAAATGCGAGACAGAAGCCCAGGATACGGAAATAGTGCCAGAAAGTATTGTAATCTTGTGGCGCGGTCGGATTGATATAAAACCACAACATAAAGACGTGTTGCGGAAAGAAACAGATGGCGAATATAATAACGAAAGCCATCACCATCTTTGCTACCTTTTTACGGGCCAGCACTTGCCTCACCTGAAATACAACGCACGTCGGGAATAACCGGGTACAAACCGTTACTGCGCGGACCAACTCAAGATTGAAATAATTTCATAAATCTTCGCTAGGATCTCGCCCGCGCGGGGATAACGAGACAGAATTCCGAGAAAATTGAAGAAACAAAGCCTTTAGATTTAGAGGAGATTATTATTATTATTATCGTTAAGGATGTGCGTTACCTGGCCGTGCATCTCGCCGGGTATGGTCCTCGTACTGTGCATGAGATGCCTGGCCATCAGTATGTAGAAGACGGCGATGATGCTGAGAGGTATTACGTAGTAAATGAAGAAGCGACATATCACTATCACTTTCGGGTAGCTCGGTCCAAATTCCTCGGGGAACGGGTAGCATACCTTCACAATTGCGCACGCATATCAGAATCGTTATGAGAAAGACGTTGCTCCGTTAGTCATGTAAAGTGGAGCGTCGTGGTTCACTTCGATAATCTCGCCGTAATACGTAAGGCCGAGCTTACGAGTGCTTCTACAAGCTCCGTCTAAAACGGGAATCTTTACGAGCACGATGATCGAACTTACGCTAAAGCTCACGTTTCGGTTGACCCTGAAGACTCTGATGTACGAGAAGGAGGCCGGGGTTGCGCACACTATAGCCAAGATCCAGATCATCACAGCGACGATCACGGTGAAGTGCGTGGCTCGCTTGTCGCCGCCTTGAACGAATGAGCAAGTGATTTAATCGCTGTATTTTAATGCTGACTTTTATGCGCTGATACTTGGGAAAAAGACGCGAGTGTTCAACGGCTATTTTAAGATACATTCGGACGATGTGTTTTAATGTCTGGGAAAGGATATATTATTCTGATCTCATTCTGATCATTCTGATCATTCGTTATATCACGCGTTATATCTTCTGCGAAGCTCGTATTCGTAATTTCTGCAGCTCTATCTGACCTTTGTTTCGCGTTTCGTGTGACTTTTTCTCGTGCGATTCGGAATGAATACCTGTAACATGCAATTTCCGCATGGGATCCACAATGGCGAAAAATCTGTCTGCCGAGAGAGCAGTTAGCGTGAATACGGAAACTCCGATGGAAATATCCTTCGCAGACTCGCCGAGTTTGCATAATAAGAGACCGAAGGGCCAAGAATCCAAAATGTAGACAATGGCGGTGAAGGGGACACTTATCACTATGAGCTGTAAAATAGAACGAAAAGTCACGCAATCAGTCGGCCGCGGAAAGAGAATTACAGTTAAAGGGATATGTATAGACAGTTTTAACGACAGTTGACATTTTCGGTTATTCCAACTGAAAGCACGTCGACGAAGCGTGACATTTGCAACGTGAACGCTGCTGAACTACCTCCAGTCGGAATTCGTGCGCGGGACTTATTCGTTTGGCAAAATTATTGTATTTGCGGACGAGTCGATCGCGTTTCATCCGTCAATTTCTTCCTGAAAGATCTTGCCTTAAACGACGACGAGTGGCCGTCGCGTCCTTCAGGAACTCATCGCCACACGCATCACGCATTACATTGTATGAGAATGTAAGCTATTTGTAGGGAAGAAAGAGCAATAAGCTTGGAGAGACAAGCGAAGATCGAGGGTACATCGAGAAGCTGTCGCTGGAAATTTCAGGAATGATATACGAGACGGTTAATATTACAGGCCAAGAACTCCGTATGCCGCGCTTAGCGTCGCGGTTTTGGTATGCACGACGCTGAGAGGCGTACGACGAACCGTCCGCATTACATGGGATTTACCGTGAAACGGTGAAGCGGGAATCAACGGACTTATGCCACTGTACTACATACCGACGTCACAACGAAACCGATCGATTTTGCGCTCTTACGTATAGCGGTACACGCTAAGAATGTGGCACGGATAAGCTTCGTCGTGTCTTTCGTCGCGGGATCGCGAGACGGCCATCTCAAGTACGTTCAGTACCAGTACGTTCAGGATGAATAATAAAGAACCTCCGCAAAAAGGGTCGATTTCTTGCCCGTTTTCCGGTCCTCGATTTTGGAGTCGAATTTTATGCCAAAAGATAGTTCATGATGAGACATTAATTATAGAAAAGTTTTACGTTGAGCATACGATTGGTTTCAAAGATGTAGAGGGTCAAAGTGGTCGCTATCTACTAAGAAAGTATGACACTAACAATGCTTTATCGAATTTTTGCAAAATTCCGTATCTATGGGTTCTTTCAGTCGCTGATTATGAATCTGATGTCAGATTTAAAAGATTTGATGTCGGATTTTAAAAATTCAAGATGGCAGGTGCAACATGGCGGACACGCATAGTGAAACAATCATTTACTTTTATTGGAACTGTTATGTTGTAGTTTTTTTGGCTAGCTGATTGCGAATTTTCTATTAGGTTTTCGAAAATAATTTTTTCAACAACAATTTTGAGTGGAGAAAGTATTTTTTTTTATTGTTTTTTCATAAAAAAAGTATCAAATTCAAATTGATACGTTACATGACGCATAAAGGATAACATGATAGTTTTATTTGTTGTATTTAGAAGCTTATCTTGCCTTCATTGGCTGAATAACTTTTTCATCTTGCCTTCATTGGCTGGATAACATTTTTACCTTGCCTTCATTGGCTGGATAACTTTTTCATCTTGCCTACACTGAAGGTAAATGTAAATCTGATAGAAAATTCGCAATCGGCTAGCCGAAAAAACCACAACGTAACAGTTTTAATAAAAGTAAATAATTGTTTCACTATTTGCGTCCGCTATATTACATCCGCCATCTTGAATTCCTTAAATCTGACATCGAATTCGTAATAAGCAACTCAAAGAGCCTATAGATACCGAATTTTGCAAAAATTCGTGCGATAAATTATCGGTGTCATACTTTCTTAGTAGGTAGTGACCACTTTGACCCTCTACATCTTTGAAACCGATCGTATGCTCAACGTAACACTTTTCTGTAATTAATGTCTCATCATGAACTATCTTTTAGCATACTAAATTTCGCAAAAATTCGCGGGATAAAAAGTTATTAGTGTCAAACTTCCTTAGTAGGTAGTGACCAATTTGACCCTCTATATCTCTGAAACCAATAGTATGCTCAATGTAAAACTGTTTTGTGATTAATGTCTTATCGTGAGCTATCATTTCGCATAAAATTTAATTTGAAAATCGGGGATTGAAAAACGGGCGGAGGTTCTTTCCTCGTCGCTCGTTGCCTCAGCGGTTGATGTTTCCTCTGACAATACGAACATTTTCGTCAGTGAAGCGGATAAATCGATCACGCTCCTGACTTAATTGAAAACGCGGGAAAACTTTCGACGGACTAAAGAATGCACCTCGCGCAGTGTCAAAGAGAAGAATTTAGAAAGAGTGAGACTGGAGCGGCAATTCGTCAAAAGTTTAAAGGTTGACGTCGTGATGTAACTTTTTAACGTTTTATTTACCTCTATGATTCATGAGCTAAGCATGATGGATGCAATGTTACTTTTGTCATCGAAATACGCTCGTAAAAGTTGAGACGCATATTTGTGTCAATCGATATATAATTCTTTCATGCCGCGTTTTTTTCCGATTATGTGAAAAGGAAGGTATATGCGCGTGACAGGAATTTTACGATATTGCCGTCTGCCCTGCAGTGAATTATTATGCTTCAGTGCTTATAAATAACGTTAAGTTCTCGAATGTGTTTGAATTTTCGCGTTCCGATAAATAATACAGCCACTTGATACGATTACATTTAACTCATTTATTAGTGATTTTCATATCCCTCTCGCATTTTCCTTTCCGCGCTATGGAGCTCGCGTGTGAAACGGTGACTTGCTTGTCCGAGATTTCACTCGCGAAAATACTAGCGTGAAAAGCGATAACGTAAGCAGCGCAAACAAAAGAGCAACATTTATATGAACGTAAATGCGTCGTATATGTGTATGCATGTGTGTGTGTGTGTGTGTGTGTGTGTGTGTGTGTGTATTTGTATGCCTGTGCAGCCTTTGACAGACGTTTCCGCGCACGATCGCAGAAATATTTCAGAATTCAGAGTTTCAGATTCGGTGAGCCTGCTCAACTGAGTAGCCGGCGTTTGCGAGAGGTATGTTTTGCCGTAGGTCGCGTAGGTTGGATTTTTCGATGAAGGAATCCAAACGTTACGTGCCAGTAAATCTCCAAGCGCCAGCGACAGCACGTACGTGTTGGGTACGTTTCTCATGTTGGCGTGTCGCAGGATCGTGAAGGCCAACACACCATTCCCGGTGAGACCGATCACCATGATCAGGAATAAGATGACCGGCACGATGTACGTCTCGGGCCGATCGCTGTAAGGTATATATTCTTCCTCTTCGTCGGCCTTCCTCGTCACGATGTCGCCGATTACGTCGCCGACGGTACCAACGTTGCCTGCCGTGTAATTTAACGTTAGCGTCGACAGTGTCGTCTGCGCTGTCACCATCAATACCGTGAACGAGGAGGACGGCGACACACTCGTCGCATATGGCCAGGACATGATTGACCGTGCCGATTCGAGCGCTCTCCTCGAGAGAAGTGTTTTTTTCGTCCGTTTAACGATAATACGAGCCGCTTTGCATTCTGATCTCCTTCCTCCCGCCGTCCGAGTTATGAAGCCTTCCGGCGACAGTTACACGCGGCAGCTGTAAAATAAAGGGAAGAGGGTTGTGATGAAAGTTTGATGAAAGCCCGAAAGCGCAGGTTCGTTTAACACCGGGCAGCACAGTCTTGCTGGACGCTTACGAGCCGTGAGCGCAAGCGCGTTTGAAATAACATTCGAGATATATAGCGAGCGCTGCCTTCAGCGTTTTTAGCGAGCGAGCTTTAACAAGTATGAGTCGCGTTTTAAAAATCACGAAATTTGTCCGGGCGAAGCATCCTGGTTGAGCATCGAATTATATAAACGGATTACAAACATTCGGCATTATGAACGTCGCGCTGAAGGATGCACGACTCGCGCGTAATGCCGCGCACTTTATCGTATCGCTGTAATGCGCCGTAGCTTACGCGCGGTGTTAACGTAACTCTGTGTGTAGCTATACGCCGGCACAAACGACACGTACTTGCGCATACTGGACACGTGCGCTAAATTACGGTTATATCCAAACACGTCAAATCACTGGTAATAAATAACCTCATTTATCAGCGGGCCGCAGTTGGGGGATGCGCAACGGAACACTCGACCGATAGAGTTATCTGCAGAGATCCGTTTGTCACCGATACGCAAGTAATTGTCGCTAAGTGCCTTCCTGAAAATTATAACAGAATTCACGGCTCATTTCGTAATTTCCCACGCAGCTCGAAATGTTAAACGAATACCGTGCGAGTCGCCGGGTGTCGCGACGCGCGTGTGGGTGCAATCCTCCAGCGATATCTCGTTAGCCGTTAATCGATCACGAAACGTTTCATGTAGCGACACAGAGGGAGAAATAGCGTTGACCCTGCGAGACGGTATCAGTCAAGCTCGCGTCTCGCGCTCGCACCCGATAACGGCCCGACAAATTGCCGAACCTTTGGCGTATTTTCGACATATCGCAACCTCGTGCGAAAGAAAATCGCCGATCGTCACGTGAAATTGGATCCGAAAGCGCGGCATATAAACAACTCCCTGTGACGAGAGCCGCGCGTTGTCCCGCGAGTGAAAGAGAAAAAAGAAGGAAGCGGGCGATAATGAAACTACTCACGCGTGTAAAAGCACCGTTTATTATAGATAAGTTATAAGATGTGAAGTGTATCGAGTATCCTGATCAGACAAGGGTTACTAAATCGCACGTCTCCCCCGCTTCGAAAACTTGGACTGACCGCACAAGCCACGCCGCCGTGCCCTCGCAACTTTCTCCTCCACTATATCAGCCCCGGTTCTCCTTGAGTTTTCCTCGCCATTCTATCGCGGACTATATATAGCTTTACGACAGCGCGGATATCCGATATATAAAAGTGGCGAATTACACGAAGAGATTGCGCGACAAAGGCATGGGGGAACATCGAGCATCAATCAGAAAAGTTTCGCCCTTTGAGTCCTCGTCTCGGACCAAGATGGAGACGAGCGCACTTATATTTAACGTTGACATTTCGCCATCTTTTTCTCTTCCCCCCCTCTTCGCACGGACGTGTCACGTGCGGGCTGTGCGCGTGTTTAGACGCCCGACACCTTCGAGATCAGCGATAATCTCGCGTGCATGTCGCGGCGAACAATACTTTGCTCAGTCGCGAACGCGACACGCGCGGCTTCACGGGGTGAAATCTGTGCAGCCCGTCGCTCGTATAAATCGGATCTAAATTTAAAGGTCGTAAACAAGACCAGGCACATTACGTGGGATTAGATTCCATGACAGGCAAATACAGCATTTAACGCAAGTGCCAAAATGTCATTAACGCTGTTACACTTCCATTTCGCCGTCGGCGGCGTCACAGCGCGACTACGCGGCGGCGAGATGCGATCGAGCGGCTGTCAATGAGCGCCGAGTTAAAACTCGAATTCACGATGGGGCCTTGTGACGCACACCGTCGCTACGGACCTCCCGGATTAAATGCAAAACCTGCGATTTATTTCCCATGGATGTCCTTCTTACATCTCAAACCTTGCCACGCGATGAATTCGCACCGCGAGGCATCGCGGAGGCAGAAGCGACGACTGTGCGGTAAACGCGGTTGTTTCCAGCGGCATCAGCCGATTGCACGAATTGTGGCGCTCTGTTGATTGCATTGCCGATACTCGTGTGCAACTAGTAGACGGATTAGTGAAAGCGAGAACGACAGATCGCGGCAAATTGCGGTCTGATAAATTCACACAGCGCAGAAACTAGTTAATCCCGATGTCGTACGGCAGTAAGATGGGATTCCTGAAAGCAACGCGATCTGTATCGTTGACGTGGGCGCGCGTGCGTGCAGACTACCAGGAATATCGCGCTCCTGTATTTGATCTCGAATTTCCATGATTATAATGGACCACCCTCGCAGCCGGTCGATGTGAGTGCCGAATATGCAATATCTTGCCGCTTTGACTTGCTTGTCGCTGAACATCTCCGCGGAAGGATGTCTTTCCGTTCGTCTGTCGCAGACAGAACGTCCGTATGCGAGCGTGGGTGCAGGTGTCGGAAGAAGCGCGCAGCTCGACTTAAATTGTGAGATTGCCCAGCAGCGATCTTTACTGAGCGAAAAAGCGACGTGACTGAGCAAACGATTTGAAGGGAAAGTGTGTCGTGTTCAGGTATTTATCAGCGCGAGTTCTGCGAAAAGGAGCGCGGAGGGGCTCCGCAGGAGGCCCTCCAGTCGCTGCGCTCTCTCGTCTCCGATAAACGTTGCACGGCGTTTTTTATGTAAAATATCGGAAAACGCTTGTTCCCGTTCGGCTGGATTTTCTCTCCTGTTCTTCTGCCCTTTTTTTTATGTGTACGCTAATTAAACTTCTTATATCCGTTACTTGTTGCGCTTTAATCTCTCCGCCGTGTCTCGATTGTACGATCGCTACGGTGTGCTCCCTTTGGGGCGAGATAATTGTGTTAAAAGTAACTCTTCACTTAAGTCGCCCCGCGTTGCATTGTAATTACGCCTCTAAAAATATCCGTCCGTGCGTCTTATATATTAGCGGCAATTTATACACCGATCTCAAAGAAAACGCGCGGCCGGAATATTTATAGTACCGCTGATCTGGCTATGACGCAACGCATAGGTATAGTTAGTTTGTATTAACGATGGCACAGGATTATACGTCAAGGGGATCTCGATTGGGTACGATCAATATTTAGACACCGGCGAAAGAAGAGTGACTTATGAATTCGAGTTCAAGTTCAAAGTATGGAATTGCCGAATCGTTGAGAATCTCCTGAACTTTGCCGCATGATAGACTTTGAAAATGACAGATTATACGGTTTTGGGCTTCGAGCGGCAGAGCGATGTGCAATTTTATTTGCGGGATATTGAAGTAACGTTTCTCGTCTCTCAGATAAGTCTTCCAGAGTCTTTCCAGAGTGCGCAGCGGTTTGAACGCAGAGCAACAAATCGCAGCTTCCTTCGGACCGGCATCATTACGTCGCAACTTCCGCGAACCTTTCGCGGCGAAAGCAATGGCTAAAGCTCCTCCGACAATCACGAAATATCCATCGTTATCGCGTCCCTTTGCAGAAACGAAGAACGGCGCATCGTGTAAAACGCGAAATCTCGGCTAGCGGCGTCGTAAACATTTTAACGACCCATGGCGGGGGATCGTTTTAACCGTTTCCCTCTCAGGGGAGTGTCGTGAATCAAATGCTGGCCGTTAATTGGGTCGAGAAAATAATCAGAGCCTGGCACATGGCCCGACGGAACTTGCGGTTCTTACCATCTTCGTCACCCTATAACGACCATCATCATCGCTGGAAGTTACGTTTCCGTTCTTACTCGGACGCTTTAATTCGCGGATCCGATGTCTACACTTTATCGTCGGGTACTGGATTAAGGGAAGAATGTGTTATCGCTTAAATGTACCGCGATGTCGATACACGTCTCGGCATCACCGGATCATCATCGAAAGCAGCGTAACGTTCTCGCGTTCTGATCACACGCGACCTCTTTTGCGACGTGCGAAATGAGGTGACGCGTTTTCGCTCATTTCTACATTTCCAGAATATTTTCTCTTCCTTTCTAAAACGACACATCCCGATATCTCACTCTCTTCGAGACAGATTAACTCGGTACTGCGTTTAATCGAGCGTTTCTCGCCCTCGCGACATGTACCGTGCTATCTGCTCCTCCCCGGGGAAAAGAGGCAGAAGGAAGCGGAGCGATCGGCCCGAAGAGAAATATCGAATCGTCGAGTTAATCAGTTACCGAGTCGTACCGACGCGAAAACATTAGACAGATTTGCCGCGCCACACAGTTTGCGCTCGCGCCCGATCGATACAAGAGCTAAAGAAATTTCTTTTCGTCAGCCTCGGGTGATTTCCCTCCATTTACGATCTACCTGACCTCGTAATAACTCAACTACCTATACCACCGCAACGGCGCGACCGACGCCGTCTTGGCGGTCTCCGCAACTTTCGTGGGTGAAAAAGTTCACGCTTTCAATGACTGGAACTTAATTAACGTCCCAGTGAAGGAGCTCTAATGGCACAAACAGAACTGCTTTTGAGCCTCGAATTCGCTTCGATTGAGCATTTCTCGAGGAAAGATTCGTGCGGCACGTTGGCGCGAAAAATAGAAAAAACGCTAAAGAAAAACGAACACGCACTGATCCAAGACCCAAAAGCATAATGAAACGCGGAAATCTGTACAGTTGAGGTTTCTTCCTTTCACAAATTTCCCGGTAAACCGAATGGCCGAGAAACATCATCTGAACGCGCGTCATTCAACGTGGAATAATACAGCCAGATTAAAATTCACGAGTACGAGCGAGATACGGTGCAGCATGACGAGTCGTAGCTATCGAGACGCGACTTATTTTGCAGCGCTTTAACAGGCATTTCATTGGAAACTCCCTTAATGAACAATTACAAACTCGTCAAAGAACATTCGTTCATATCATTGCGACGTCGATAGCCGCAATATCGATTACGTGATAACGTGTGTAAGAGAAAGAGAGAGCGTAGCGTATATATAACGTGTCGCATAGCGAGAAACAATAGCCGTGTCAGCGGCGATAAAGTGCCAGCGAGGGTGGAGAAAG